TCAAAATGGGAAACACTGAATACACACAGCCTTACAATCAATACAACATTACTCGCAATAAGAATGGAGTTCTCTGCTCTGTGATGACTGGTTGAAAAGTATTATAAGTGCAGGTTGACTAGAGCCCTGCAGGCTAGGTGCAGTGGCTGTTGCGGTTATCAAAAATATTAGTTCAAAACTGCACTAAATACATCAGAAACATGCTTCAACATTACTCATTTGAAAGCTCGTGCAATGCAGTCACACAATATGCACACTTTACTGGCGCCAACACACAGTTAACAAAGAGCATAAAAAGATGACTATCACTTTGGTCCAAACACGTGAGTCCACCCAGAAATTCCTGCGGCACAGGGCACTAGTGTCCCTTCAATATATTGTGACATCATGATTACACGCTCTTAATTATGTGTTAATTTTTAAGGCTCTGAACATAACTGGCATAAGCCCATACCATGTGACGTGTGAAGCAAACTACACTGCTACTATTAGTAACAGCTCAGCCCTGTTACTTTGTCCTAAATTTAAATAAACTTGAAAGCAACTCTCAACAAGTAATTTTCCTAAATATGTTCACTCAATCAATCAGACATGGCAAAAGAATAATAGCTTTGCATGGGTGTGAATTAAAGATATAAAATGCAAGCAGCAGTTTTACAGTACTGCTCTGCACAGTAATATCTATCTGAATCAATGATACACCAAAAACTTTGAGACCAACTCAATCCCATGGTGGGAAAAAGCAGCTAAAGATGCCATGCACTAGCTATATAGATGTAAAATTGTTGCCCCGCCGCGGTGGTCTAGTGGCTAAGGTACTCTGCTGCTGACCCGCAGGTCGCGGGTTCGATTCCCGGCTGCGGCGGCTGCATTTCCGATGGAGGCGGGAATGTTGTAGGCCCGTGTACTCAGATTTGGGCGCACGTTAAAGAACCCCAGGTGGTCGAAATTTCCAGAGCCCTCTACTACGGCGTCTCATAATCATATGGTGGTTTTGGGACGTTAAACCCCACAAATCAGATGTAAAATTGTTAATAATCTTAAGAGTCTTTTGTTTTTTAAATACACTTTTTCTATGATTACAAGCGCTAAATGCTGTAATAAATTCACAAGCCTAAGCAATTACCCTTTCTGCCTGTACCTGCATCTTCCAAATATTTTGTTTTTCAAAAGGAAATGTAAAGACTCAAACTTAATAGAACAGTGCCCAACAATAGTGATTACTAGTACCGGCAATGAGACCAGAAAGCCACATGATGGACCTGCTTTATACTATATATACATATTGTAACGAGAGCAGTGGACATGGAGCTCCAGTAGAGAAAGAAGACGCGCTGGGATCGCAGGCTTGCATTCAGTTAGCCCTTGCGCTAAATAAATCTTTTGTTCGCCGAGTGAACTCCTGCTTGTTCAACACCCCGTTTCAAGTGGTACAATATATATATTCATTGACAAGCAGAGCGTCAAGCTGTCCTCTCTATTCCTTTAATTTCTCCCTAATTTTCGCATGACCCATCATTATGTGCTAATGGGGCAAACATTTCCTAAAAATAACTCGTATTCAGTCCACAGTGCAGAGCATGTCACTTAGCATTATTGTTGAAATGAAACAACACCAAATGAAACCATGTCTATAGGAGTAAAAGCAAGTGAAAAAAAATTCAAATTCATTCCACACAGAGGCAAGAAATAGTTAAAAGTTCACGCTACTAAGCTTGCTTGCTATAAATTACTCGTACTTGCTGAAATGCAGACTCTGTTCCTGCATGCTCTGGGCAAAGACTCACACACTCGAACATGCCCTTCATAGCACAAATGCGTTCGAACAGCATGGCGAGTCGCGATTCTGAAAATTAGCATTCAAAACTTCCTGAAACAAATCGCAGTTCCTAAAGCCTTGTGCTATGCTTTGCAAATATAACAGTACACAAATTCGTACTCACATAAATCTTAAATGTCTAAAATTTTAGTCCATCCAAAACAAACAAATGCACACATTACCACACGATGCACCTTAAAAGGTGGTTTCACTGCAGCGTGGGAACGCTATGCTATGCTGTGAAACCAAATATCCCCTCCAAAAGAAATGCGCACTAACGCATAGTCCTACTTCAGGGTTCATTCTGCACAACACCTGTACCTTAACTGATTTTCTTTTTAACTTACAGGCAGGTTATACATGTTTGTATGACCAAGTATAGAAGATTCTAAAACGCAATGTACTTTAGGTTTAATATCTTGTACCCTGCTACTATTCAGCTCCTGCTCTTCGAATACACTTCAAAATTATTTCATACTAATTACAATTTGCTTCGAATTTGCTTCGAATGAAAAATTTACACTCACAAAAGCCTTCTTAGCACATTTAGGGCAAGAACATTTCCCAGTGTTGACAAACACAAAGCAGCAGTGACACAAACACACCTGCAATACAATCAATCAAAAATGAACAATCAAAAACTAAAACAGGTGATTACTTCCCTGACTAAGAGAAATGTTTTAATATGGCATTACACATCACAAACGAGAGGTATACATAAGAAGTCAGCAAATGGCAAAAAAAAAATCACAGCCTACACTGGCGCTGCTTTCTCATGTCCTGTACAGTCTAGTTTCTTGCAAGACTTAGAAGCAAAGCTTATTAGCTTTCAAAGATGTGGAATGCAGCTTAAAGCCAATATAAGAGTGGGAAATTCAAGTCCAGTTACATTAAAAGTGATGTGTAGTCTTCACAGACCCAGTTCAAATCGTAGGATGCCAAAGGTTCCCAACTCAACATATATGGGCATCAATCGAAAAAAGTTAGTAGTGCAGCAGAAGCCATAGTTTCTTGAAAAGTACTGCAGCAGAATAATGTATTAGAGCCTATGGGCTTCAAGTATGATAGTTCAGCCATTAATGAGCGGATCATTCGTTCCTAAACCTGCATAACCCAACTTTAAAAATCACAGTCGCAACTAAACCTTTCATCTCAAGTGTAATGATCTGCAATAATTTTGCATGTGAACGGGGCCTTGCAGCTAAACATAATTTCTGCTGCATTTAAAAAAATTACCGGATGAGAAAACACACACAAAACACACTAGCAAAAAATTGAAAGGGCGCCTGAACCGCTTCTTCAAGTAATCATCTAATGGCCTCAGTATTGTAGTTCAGCGCATTACAAATACATTGCGGAAAAAATTTCCCGAGTCTGTGAGGAACATGCAAAGTTGCAGGGATTCGTCGACCACTCTTAGCACTATTTCCCCTCTCTCGCCCAATGACCAAACCAGAAGTTGCAAAGGAGGGCTGCCATGGGGGAAACCAAGTTACATCAGCACGCATCATCCCCTTATTCATATGCAAAGAAACATGACCACTTCTGCCTGTTGCAATTTCTGTGCACGAGTATAGCGTACAATATAACTTTAGCAAAATGCGGAGTGTGGGACTGGTCCCACCTAGTTTTTTTTCTTCTCTTTCTATTCTGATTTATGTTGCATTGCCAGCGGTGGAATGTCACAAGGTGTTTAGTGGATGAAGAACTGAAGTTGCAGTGAAGTTTTAAGTAAGCACTTTTCAAGAAGGCATGCAGCAGTGCAACTTGCACCCTGCTCTCTGATTATGGTTTTCTAGAAAGGAATGGTTTATGCCTGTACCCTTAAATATTTCGATCGTTTTCGTGCCATGCCTTAAGTGCTTCATGAAATCAGTTAATTGTGGTGCTTGGTGTTTGCTTTTAATTACATACCTCTGGTGCCACAAAAACCGTGTTAACTGCAGCGAAATGCTCAAGAACGTTTTTAAGAGTCTTATATCCTTCAACATGAGCAAACATAAATGATTCACGATTTTGGTCAATAAAAAGAAACAGAGTGCAATAAGTGAACCCATTAGCGCATAAATTAGAGAAATTGAGGTAGTCACCTCATAAACACTCCACATACGATAGCTGAATGACCACTTCCACTAACAAGATGGCAGCAGCAAGCTCTACACCATAAGCCTGATTCTTGAGACAAAAATGGCTTGATACACAACATATTGAATATCCCATACTAAAGTACTCAACCAGTCCTGCGCTTGCTGTGATAGCTCACTTGAAGATGAACCACCATACGTACTACTTCTAACTTGTAAGCGTACGTTGTCCAGGAGCTAATAACTGACACTTGGACAATTGTTTACTTAATATCTTTTTCCATATTAAATTACAAAAAGTTACATTAGTAAGGAGTTTATCTTATTTTATGCTTATTTGAAGAGATTTCGAAATTTATATGTTGGTAGGACACAAGGGAAAAAAAACATACCGTTTCAGTACTAAACACAGTTATACACACATGTTTCTTTTTTATATAGTTTTGTCAGACTTTACGCAGATTAAAAAGTCGATTGATTGATTTGTGGGGTTTAACGTCCCAAAACCACCATATGATTATGAGAGTCGCCGTAGTGGAGGGCTCCGGAAATTTAGACCACCTGGGGTTCTTTAACTGTCCACCCAAATCTGAGTACACGGGCCTACAACATTTCCGCCTCCATTGGTAATGCAGCCGCCAGATTAAAAAGTCATCAATAAAGTTTCACGCCGCCATCCGAAGCGAAGCTAATTTGCTGGAAATGAATGTTTCACTGTATGGAAGCACTTAACTATGTCCAGAACAGCACAGGAAATGTTTAAGCTACAAGCAAATCACACAGCACACAGGCACTTTCATAGCTAGATAACTCGCAATATCCTTTCGGACTGTAAATTATACTTGGATCACCTAACCATCCCATCAAAATACGCACACAGGTCAAGTCCCAAGCTTCGGTGTCACTAAATATTGTGAGCATTTAGTATACGCATCCTCTTCACCGGTACATTATCATCATTATCATGTGTGGCTCATGCATCCTCATCGTTATCGCGTAGCATCATCATCTTGGCTCATTCATCGTAGCGGTCGGCTGCCGGTTCCTCGGGCCTAATAAAAAGTAATCCAAACCAAGACTACATACGTGGTGGAGGTGCTGGGTACGTTACGATGCAGGATGGTGAGAAGAATGTCGAGGAACGTGCGGACGCTACCGGCGTTTGTAAGCGAGATTTCTACAAGTTCGGCGAACACGTTCGGATGGAGGAAGATCATCGCATTGAATTCAAGGCACACAAGAACATCTCCATCGAAGAGCTGTCGCCAGCTTGCAAGGACCAGCACTCTGGCCAGACGATCTCAAGAACTATCTGTGCCTTCTTGAACACTGGGAGAGGTGGGACTATTTTTCTGGGAATCCTTGACAACTGGTGAAGTCAACGGTCTCCATCTCACAGAATACCAAAAAGACCACTTGGCATTGAGTCTTGAAAACTTGATGCAGCAGTACAAGCCAGCTGTCCCAAAACACATGTACGAGCTGCGGTTCGTTCCAGTCATCTTTGAGGGTGTGCCATTGCCAACAAACGAAAGACGTGAGATGAACAGCAAGGAGAGGTTCAGGCCACACAAATTGCAGTGTTCGAAGCCATGCTGGTGTGACGATGAAGCTACTGCTCAGCTGAGTGTTGGCAGATTGGTGATGCGGTATGTTGTGGAGATTAAGCTATCTGCATGGGACAGTTCTGACACGAGAAACAGTGGGTTGAATAAAAGCAAGATGGGCATCCACCCCATGTTTGATAACGATGAGCATGCATGAGCCACACATGATAATGATGATAATGTACCGGTGAAGAGGATGCGTATACTAAATGCCCACAATATGATTAAGTTAATTGAGCTTTTTCTCATTTCACATTCCTAAATGTGTAGCAGCTGTCTGAGCTGATGCAGCTATGTTGACGGCCTCATTTGTTCGTTCTCCAAACAATACAAAGGCAAGGAGGCAATAATATTCTTGAGAGCCCGCAAGCATAGATTTGATAGCTTTGCTCAAAATATGAAGTGAGTGTCTGAAAAAACCAACTTCCCTGCTGGATAACATTTCTCTCTACTTAAAATATACATACACATAATCTTGACACAAATTACAAAGCAATTCAGTAAACTAATGCATTTAATTGAATGATAGACTGATAAGCAACAACTGGTCACCACAGTGCTATTAAAGACATGATAAATCTCTTACAAATGCAGGTGACGTTGACAGAGTATAAGTAACTATTGCAGCGTAGCTTCTACTACTTCACTAATAAATTAGTGTCAGTGAATATTTTAAAAAGAAACACATTACTACCTAGCTGCTGGCACCCACATGAAAAAGGTTCAGTTCTGTAATGCAATCCCACATCAGTCTTCATTGAGAAGCATGCACTCAAACCTCATTATAACAAAGATGCATCTCGCAAGAAAATAAGTTTGTTATATCAGAAAATTCATTTTAAATGTTGTTCCCAACACTGTATTACAAGAATATTTTTATGCACTTTGTTATAACCAATATTTCACTATATCTGTGCTTGTTATACCGAGGTTTGAGTGTACATTCATAGAAACAAACTAATACGTTGGTGAGCAATGGCACATGCATACCTTCTATCCTGACTCACACTAACAACATAGCCTTTGCCTTTTAATGCACAACTACAAAACAGAGTGATCTCCATCATTTTTGTTTACCACAGACAGAACGGCCCAAGGCCAAAATTATAAAGCTGTTAATATAGTCAAACCTCATTAAAAAGAATGCAGTTCTGATGCTCTCATTAAGCAACTATCTATTATATAAGCATTGCTTCACGAAATGCAGAACTCCAAGAATGACCTTATACTCATTTAATCGTACAAAATAATTCGGTATGTTGTTATTGGGCTATGCAACAAAGCAGCACTGCCCTGTCTTTTTTCGCACATTTTCTCCATTTATACATTTACAGCGAAGAATGTTTGGGCTAGACGTTTTATTTCGAGCAAGTTTCGCAGCTACAGTACACGTTTTTCTTGCATGTCTTACTGTATTCGCAAGAATCAGGTTGAGTTGTGCCCTAATTGATCTTTTCTCTTGCTATTACAATAAATTTCGAATTCCGTGCATCACGGACCTATGGGAAGTACTATCTGCAAGATTGCCTTGCAATTGTTAATATTATGAGCTCTATACACTGCAAAATAATTATTGTCAATTCGTCAGCAAGAATATTTGTACATAGCTCCTAGCGTAAAGCTGGCACTTGAAGTGGTAGCCAAGCCAAGAAAAGGTCAACCTCATAAACTGTCACCGAGTAAATTTCTGCCTCACAGGTGCAAGATGTCCATGCAGAGAACTAGCACCTGCCACGCACTTGACACGACAGATGCAGCAACTGAACAAGGCAACGTGGTTGACTAACGAACATGTCTAAAACTATTTTGCACTGCAACACAACAATAAAATAAAATAAAGATGTTCAGCGCAGTTTTGCCAACAACTCTCTCGCTCACAGGGCAAGTCATAAACTGTCCTCAGTCGGGGGGGGGGGGGGGGAGGGGCCACAGCTTTCACGCAAATGCTACAACAGTGCTATCAAGGCAGATCCAGAATGTTGTTCTCTTCGTAGACAGACTGTGTGAAGTTATACACTTTTGTGGCTTCCTCCGAGACGCCGGTCACCAGTTGCCGCAGGTCTTTCTTTTCCTCAGGCAAGGCCTTTGCGAAGATCTGCAAATACATGTGTACCTTGGTAATGGCACCAACGTGAAACCGAATACTAACCGTTTACGAAGAAACATTCTTCGCTAGAATCACACAAGACAGAGTTTTCTTTTATTCCTAGATTTTCTGTGTTGAGTGTAGCCGGACGAATGCGGCACAATTTAGACGAAGACAAGAGACACCAATACACACATACGAGCGCCACATTCATTTTTGTTGTTCTGGAGCCGCATTTTCTGATTGCAACCCAGTGTTGTCAGTCTTCTCATCACTGAATTAGATAGCTTGTGTAATAGATTTAGATAGTTTGAGTAATCCTTATAAGTGTGTAATAATTTTTGCCCACAGCAGCGTTGTTTATTTTTGTTCTTGTTACTTGGCTGATCATATCAGTGTTCTAGGTCATAGAGCCAAATACGGGGCATAAGAAGGCCCACTGAAGAGCACAGCACTAGTATATGTGTATCTCTGTCTCCTGTCTTCGTCTAAATGGTGCTGCATTCATCCATGTATATACCAACTCCCCTAGGTCAATGTATTGCAGTGAAATGTCGATACAACTAATCTCAAAAGAACACTAAATATCATTTGTTATTTTGAAAAGTCGTTATAGTGAAAGTAATAAAAATATGCACAAAAATCATAAACAACATAACGTGAGTAGCCTAACTGTGCTGTGTGTACATTCGCGACCATGTTATAATTTTAAGCATGAAAAAACAAATGCAAAACATTATGGAACCAGCGCACGTTTATTTGAAAAACACCGTGATTTCTCCTAACGTGGCTAGTTTGACTTCTGAAAGACAATCGAGCGTATCCTTCGTAAGCACTGCGAAGCATTGGCGTTAAATACCGATTCTTCACGTTGGTTCGCGTGTGATGTTTCAGTGTCGTCTTCGCTCTTGTCGCCGTTTTCTTATCACAACAAATGGTAAGGATCTTATCGGTCGTCAGCTAAGCTGACGTTCATGCTTCGTCTTTGCCCTGTACGTAGTGTTCAAGGTTTCATGCGTACTGAAGCATGCATGGGCAATCATCAACGACTTCATCTCATAGGTCACTTGCGCAGCACTTTTCACTATCAAAGCATTCCTCTCGTGCTGCATTCAGAGCCCATCAGAGCCCATCTTGAAAAAGCTAGAAAATGGCCTCGTAACAAGCGTGCAGGTAACGCTGCCCAGAAAAAACGAAGGCAACAAGGCGACAACTGACGCGAAAAACAAGTATTGGGAGATGATGGTGGCAGCAGGGCTATTGCAAATTTGAATAGGGAGAGCGCATAGAGAAATATACGGGTGTTCAGATGACGATGACAGTGGCAGGTACAAAGCTAGGCAGTATTTTCACAGCCGCGAGTAACTTTTAAAATTACAATTCATTGTGTTGAAGTGTTGCAGTGATATAAAGGGGACCAAATTCGGTACTCTATTCTGAAACAATTGGTATTCTCAAATTCGTAGTGACGAAATATTTTTAGATGAGACCAACGAACATTTCGAGATGGATTTTCAAAAACGTCGATCTGAAAAAAAATCATGAATTTGAGATTAGCTATAACGAGGTTTGACTTTATTGAGCATAGTGCTTCTACTTGTAAGAGCCCACAGATTATCCCACAGACAGGTGTAGCACTGAACTTACGCAATTATACTCAACTCTCGTTTACACAGACGTTCAACGTGCCTTTTTCCTAATTCATACATAAACTCTCGTGTGATCAGAAATATTCGAAAAGGTCAAATGACATTTCTTTTTTTTTATAGGTGCAATCAAACAGAGTACCGAGTTTAAAACGTAGTGCAGATCACGCAGGAAGATGAGCCAGGTATGGATGGCTCATGCAGGGAAATTTTATTTGCACTGTGTAATAATAGGCTGCACTTCACTGCACTGCAGCCATGTGATGTAGCGAAGGATACGAATTGCTGTGAAAACTAATCACTGTGCAGTCAAGTATGTTTTCTGAAATTGGTTATGCAGAAAAAAAAAAAATGCTGTTCTAACGACGCAAAGAGCCTCATGGGACGACATGTCCTCAAGCATTACGAGTGGCGAAGAGGGTGAAGCGAGAGAGCGGTGACATTTGTATATTAGGATTACCTTCAGACAGTCGCACTTCCAACTTCGAATCATTAGCACAGTCAAAAATTTTCTGACCTCCTTTGAATCCTATATATTTGAGCTTGCATTTGCCAATAAGAAAATTGTTTTAACAGCGGTGAACAATAAGAAAATAATAACATGAGTGCACTAAATTTGATTCCAGCAGCCACAGTAAGACATAGCATAGGAGTGCCTATGCGCTACAGACTAATCAAAGAGTCCCAAGAGCTAACGTCCCAAGTCCCAAGCTAACGTCCGAGTCCCAAGAGCTAAAGAGTCCCAAGAGCTAAAGAGTCCCAAGAGCTGCAGATCCATAAATGCAGTATTTGCACTGATGAGAGCTTTATAATTCGGAACACAATTTTAAAAAGCTTGCCAACATTGTAATTGTGCCAGGAGCTGAGCATTCTTCCATGGTAATTTCAGTTCAACATCGGAAACCGATTTAAAAATATTGAAGCTAGCAGCAAGTCGCACAAGGTTTGAAACAGTGAAACTATATGATTCTGAAGTTTATCTGGTTGCTTCCAGGTTGTTGCCAGACTTTAGCTAGACGATGCTAAGTTGTTTCTCGGTTGATTCTCTGCACAGATAGCTTCGAGTTGAAGGCCATCTGCAATGAAATTGTGCACACGTCAAAAATCCCATTTATAGGCAGTCTAGCTGGAGACAATGCTTCCGACCGAATTTCACCTTCGAAATGCAAGTGGTTACTTAAGAAAAAAAAAATTGCCAACAGTGCAGTTCTTGATGCTGAAACTAGAAAAAACGACGCAACTACAGCTGACTGAAAGTGACGCAAAGAGCAGCTCGAGAGACCGCCCGATGCAGGCGAATCGTCTGCTCTGCACTCCGAAGTATGCGCTTTGTGGCCATGCCCCAGAGTTTTCTCTTTGAATGGTAACAAAAACGCAAACAATGTAAACATGCACCATGCAGAATACGTGATCATAAAAGCTCATTAAAGTGCGTATCTAAATAACGACTGCCCGGCTTCGCAACTGCCATCTTGTACTGCTATCTTGAAGAACTCTCTGGTTCAGAATAAATGATGCGACTCGCTTATGCTTTGAATATCCTCACTTCGTTGATAACTGCGTGTGATAAGATGATGTTTTCATTACCGATGCTCGCTTTTGCACACTAACATGTCTGCCAAAAGCATCCCTGCACTTCTGTAAATACTTATCTTATTGCACCCAAAACATTCACATTAAACTTAAAGCAGCACCATCCATTTTCGTATAATACATTTATGTGCTTAAATTGCTTTGAACAGAGCACGAAATGTTTCTGTTTAACTTCGCTGCTTTTACTATTCAAAGCTAGAAGCGAGCCAATTAGCTTTGGTCGCTTTAATTACACAATCATAGATGGCGCCGCTAGTCTAGGGCTTCGCTTCACGGTGTGTCGTTTCACCGTTTTTGTTTTTGGAATGCCGTTATGCTATTACTTGGCGAGCGAAACACTTTAACGCACAACATTTATGCTATACTAAATCTGTCTAATGGGAAGACATGTCGTGGCCGGCGCTTCTCCAAACTCCGGTCGAGGCTTCCCGCTGTTGTGTTTACAGTGACTGAATATTGAAGGCCCTGCGTCAGGATTCGACATTCTTCTCAGTTTTAACAATATTTCTGCGGAGATACTGATCGTGTTTATATTCATCATCTTTGAAGTGTGCTGCGTAAAGCACCACCCTCTTCGGTACCTCTCATTCCTTTTGCCTCTCTCCAATAACCCACCGCTTTTGAAGCTTCATGTTTTTCGGAAAACCATGAAAGCTTGGCCCGGCCGTAACATGTGTTCTAGCAGCCTACGAAACTGCATTTCGTACTACAAGAGAGTTAGTTAATTTCAATTATCCGCTCGTAAAAGGGCATCACGCAGAAAAGGAACATATGCAGCTACAGGGAGTTCTGCTCACAAGTGGTGGTTAGCTGCAATTGACGTCACTTCTGTTTGTGTCCGATTTGCCCGAGCACACGCTAGAGCTCCGCATCGTCTGCTAGCTGGCAATTAGAGCACCAATTACAAACGAAATACGCGATTTCAAGATTTTTCACTGTTATTATCACTGCTTACCCGACATATTGTCACGTTACAACGTAACTGTAACCTGCTGATAATGGCACACAAGGACGTCAAACTGATTCGAACAACAGCAGTACGACTATTGTTTTTCTCTGCCCGCGCACCTTTGTCCTCTTCTGAACAGCGGCACATACAAGCATGCCAGCATCTGTGGAAATAATAGTTTCAGAACTTGTACTAGTGGCATTACCCCCCTTCCCAAAGGACATCGTCCCGATGTCATAACATTATTGCCAGATGAAAACACGCACGATAAGCAGTACAAGGGGGTGTTCACAATCACTGTAAGTCTACTCAAGGGAGTGTGACGAATAGTCAGCGTTGGTAAAATGGTTTCATCCTCGAAACATGGACGACGTGTGGCTGTTGTGAACGGCAGGATTGACGAGCCATGTCCTCGTCAAGAACCTCGTAGTTCACTTCGCTGAGACGACAGAGAACTCTGTAGGGACCAAAATAGCGGCATAACAACTTTTCCGACCGGCCCCGTTGTCGAATGGGAGTCCACAACCATACTCGTTCTCCGGGTTGGTAAGAGACATCGCGACGACGAGCGTTGTACCGCAGCGAGTCGATGCATTGTCGCTTATGAACTCATTCGACTGCAAGCTTATGAACTGCGTCAGCTAATCTGATAATTTTTTCCGTCTTGACACTTATCTGGTGTCTGTCTGGTAGAAGCATGGCATCCAGCATTGTAGTGACCTCCCTGCCATGAAGCAACCGGAATGGTGTGAATCCAGTTGTTTCTTGCACAGCGGTGTTGTAAGCGAACGTGACAGGATGTCATCCCAGTTTTCGTGGTC